TTTTCTTAAATGTCTAAAATGAACATTTATTACTTTTATAATACGATGAAATGTAAACAAGAAATATAAAAAATAGTCTTAAAGGATGTGAAAACCTCATTTAATCTTATCATACTCATCCACTGACTTGTCTTTTAAATAGATTTATAAAGATTTCCACTCATTTTTTAAAACAAATGATTTCACCACTTTGTCGATGTTTTTACAGATCTGAAAAAAACTTAGATCATTGTAAGTGTATGTTTATATGTATCTCTTCATGCAACATTCTTGAAAATTTATCAACTGGGAAGGAAAACTTCTGATGTACTTACTATTTGATACCCCATAACTTCCTCCATTAGTTAAGTAATATGAAGACTTTTAATTGGTATAAAACTTTGAGAAAAAAAGCATGGGTGTATTTTATCCAAATTAAAAGCCTGTTCAACTGGTGTCAAAGACAGCTAAAAGATAGATCCTACACTATTTAAAAAATCTGTTGTAAAATATCATTCTTTGTTTATACTGTGGCAACTTACTTGCTGATTTAACCATTTAAGTATAATACCATGAACAAATTTGTTACAGAACGTTTACTCTATTCCATTGGTGTTGGGGTAATTCATTGGTAAGTAAAGCCAATAAAGGATTATGTACATGTCAGCTTGGAAATCAACCAAATTTCCAATTGAGTACTCCATATTCTCCCTTTTTGAACCCCCTGATACTTTATTATTCTCAGCATTCTTTGTCTTGTTACAGAACCTTATTTCTGTGAGGAAAAAATTATCTTTAAAAGGGATACAGTGCTCATAACACAAAAACTTTGGAAAATAGACATTACAATAAAGAAATAGATGGCTGTTAGTTGGAAATCATTTATTGCCTCTATAAAAGTAAAAAAAATCCTACAAAAGTTCACATTAGAGTCTGATACGGTTTTAAGGTGTTAGTATGTTTCAGAGGTAGTACCAGTAAAATGGGATGCATGATTTCTAAAATTAATTACTTAACAAGTTAATGCAACATAAACTTTCAATGTGGAACAATATACTCAGTATATACTTTAATGGAACAATCATAATTATATTCCATGAAAATATCATTTTTTTTCTCTTTTACCCCTTAGCAAATCTGTTATTAATAAAGATTTGTTTTGGGCAATGGTATTTTGACTGTAGACTCAAAAGTTAATAGGCTCCTCCATTATATCATCAACAGAGCATAGCTTGTGAAGAGCATGATACAGTACTATCCGCCAAGGATAACACCAACTTCAAAGATAAGCCTATTTACTCACTGTTTAGACACTATGGTTCTTAGAACTCCTTTCAAAGGCAAATGTATCAGAATTTGGCATTTTTGGGATATGAATGATAATCTAATATATATTTTAAAATAAACATTATTCCTGGTATACTATTACTGCAACATGTAGGAAGGGCAGCAGTTAATGTCTCTTAAAAATGATCATAAACTATCAGGCTAAGATGAGGAAACTATTCCTTGGAAACAGGCTAAATGCTCCTTTCCCTCAAAAAAGGCAACAAAGTCTATTTTAGATTCTAGAATTCTTTTAAATAGACATCTTACGTTTTATCCTACAAACTTACAGATTGTTGACTATGAAAGTGCCTTGAAATAGATGGTGCTGTCTTAGGAAAAAAGACTTCTTGGACATCTTTTGAAGTGTTGGTAGTATACAGAGCACAGAATGTGATTTGGTTGCAGACTATTCTTCTCCAACAATCACAAATATTTCTATCACATGATTGCAATGGTAGCATAAAAGTCTCGCTGTTGCCCTAGCTGGTTTTGCTCAGTGGATAGAGCGTTGGCTTGTGGACCAAAGGGTCCGGGGTTCGATTCAGGTCAAGGGCACATACATTGGTTGCAGGCTCCTCCCTGGCCTGGGCCATGGTGGGGGCTCCTGCAGGAGGCAACCAATCCTTGTGTTTCTCTCACATCAATATTTCTTTCTGTCTTTCCCCCCTCTTCTATTCTCCCCCAAAATATCCTCGAGTGAGGATTAACAACAACAACAAAGTCCTGTTGTTATAACTGATCTTACAATAAAACATTCCCGGGTTCCATAAAAAGGCGAATTTTCTTTTAAGTTTTCTTTGCATGTGTTAATGTCCCTATTCACCAGAGTAACTGTAGTTCTGTTTTTCTTGTGAATAATTTGAGCTTGGCTGAGATGAGAAAGGTATATTCATTTTTTGTTTATTTTATATTTTAATACATATTTTGGAAGGTAAGTGCTCTTAGATGCATATTTCCTGCTTAGAAACTGGTTGGCTATCCTAAGCTGAATGCAAACATCAAAGTTAGGTAAAAGGGAAAAAAAAGGGCTTTTCACATTAACATTTGTTTTTGTGAGAGATGGTTCAGATAGTGTGGTCTGTTTCACTATTGAGTCACAGCTCTATAAAAAGAAACACTAGTGGGTTTTTTTCCTCCTCTGAGTCATGAAGATGTTCACAAAAGAAATCATGAACTGATGTTTTTCCTCCACTAAAATGTCTCAAAAGCAATTCCAATCTGTAAGAACCAAATTTTCTTCATAATAGATTTTTCAGTACTTGACACCTTGGCATCACCTTGCCTATTATTATTTTTCTTTCTGGATACAGCTATTTGCTTTGGTCTCGCTTTAGAATAACCATATTTCATTTTAGAAATTTTTTAAGTCCAGCAATGGTAAAATAAATAAATCTGGTGCTGAAGCATGCATGCCAAAGCAAAAGGATCCCTAAACGCAGTTTCTATTTTAATGGAACTTTAAATAGGGACATGGAAATCATCTATGCTTTCTCTCAAAATTATGGACTAGGATTCTTCTAGGAATCACAACTAGCAGAATCAAATCTATGCAACCTTCTAATTAAATAAACTGTATTAATATACCTGAAAAGGTGATAAGAAATCATTTGTTTTGAAGTTTATGGCTTGTTGAGGAATTGAAATCCAATGTCCTTAAAGCAGGAGGTCAAATAATATTTTAGTGACTAAATGCTGAGGTATGACAAATAGAATCCATTTAGTTGAAAGATGTAGGAAAGAATCATCTTTCCTTACTTTGTAACAAGAACCAAATAAGAAGGGACATAAATTGAAGCAGAAAAAAAATAGAGTTTAAAATTAAACTCAGTGACTAGGAAGGAGACCTTAGGGGAGGCTTAAAGGTCTGGAATTTGTTCATGCTACATTAAGAAATGATTTGTATATTTGCTGTATATAGTAGGATCTCTTTATCTTATGGAAGAATTGGTGAGACAGATAAATGTAATCATAATATCTGAAGTTCAATTGTTACTCAGCACTCCTTTTTTCTGAATAAAATTTGATTTGTCATCAAGGAGTACTAAACATTGTTTGCAATGAACCATATGGCTGTCAGCTAAACGGGAGCATACCTAACCACTGATCTATTTCTGCTAACAAAAGAACCATAATAAGATGGCAGTAACATTAAATCAATAGGTGACAAAAGGACGTATTATCAATAAACCTTACTTATTTGTGTCTGTGGTGAGGAGACATTTCAAGGTCAAATACAGTCATGACTGCCTTTCTGTATTCATAAATTGGTATCTGTGAATTCCAAGATCAAAATTGGTTTTTCTTACAAATTACAAAATTATCTGATGTAGAAATTTGATGGCCAAGAGTCATGTAAGCTACTTCTTTAACATTTTTTATGTGTAGATAGTAATTTAACCATGCACATGATTCCACACAATCTACAGATATATGATACTGTATGCTCAGGGAGAAACTGGCATTTTCCCTTTTATAGGCTCTGGTGATGCCATCTGGTACTCAGAATGAAAGGTCTGAAAATTGTCTACAGTGTGTTGCCATCTGGTACCTGCTAATAGAACAAAGGGGTAACGTGCTCATAGAAGAGTGTCCAGGGAAATCCAGAAGACTGGATTTACAACCAAAGTAGTTTAACTCTATTTTTAATATTATCCTTGGCTGATGGCTCTGTACAAGCTTCACATGGAAATGAGGTAAATTTTATGGCAAAGCTGAATGACTTAATTAAACACAATCTTGCCCAGCCGGCATGGCTCAGTGGTTAAGCGTAGACCTATGAACCAGGAGATCACGTTTCAATTCCTGGTCAGGGCACATTTCCAGGTTGCAGGCTCGATCCCCAGTAGGGGGCCCGTATGAGGCAGCCAATCCATGATTCTCTCTCTCCCTGTCTGAAATCAATAAAAACATATATTAAAATAATAATAATCTTAGTGGCCAACCTTGACTTTGTGTCTCTTAAAATATTTAAGAAATCAAAAATATTATGAAGATGATGATAAACTTGTAATATTTGTGCAACATTTCATGTATTACTCAATTTTACTAGTAAAATGTGAATCATATCAATATTTTTCATTTTCAGCAATGAAGAATTTCTATTGACTAATCTTTTACAACATTTTGTTTCTGTACACTTAATTTATTTAACTTCATGTTGGTGAATTACTTTTCTATAGTGCTTCCCCCCTCCCCCCGAAATATTTGGGTTAGATAATGGAAGAATACCAACAATTTACAATTATATACTAGTAATCACTTCAATTTTCAATCATTAACTTAAGTCAAGTTCTCACAGAGCTTGCAAAATAAATCCCAAGACTCGTACAGGTTAATTCCCTTTCAAAGTTTCATTTCAATTTTCAGTCCACTTTCCTGAGTAAAAGTGTGTATTAGGAAAAAGAGAGAGAAAGAAGGAAGATGTAATGGCTACAAAGACAATAATCAAGCTTCAGTAATTTGATAAAGCAATGTTGAAATACTTTTATTATTGTGTCTCTGGCCAAAGCTATTATTGAAACTAAAATTTTTCTATAAAATCAAACAAAAAATTTCAAAAATTATACATTATGCATTTCATAGCTAAGCTGTTCAAAATTAAATATTTCCCACATTTCTATCAATTTGGGAAAAACTCTCAAAATATGCTTTTAAATTTCACAAACAATTTTTTGTACTGTAGCCATTATATCTTGTCCATTCTTAACAGAATATATTGGTTTCAACAATATGTTTTTCCAATTGAAGAATTTCAGGGCAACAGAATGCAGTTATCAGAATGCATGCCTGTTAGGCAGCGTAAAGGCTGTATCATATACCACCCCCCTCAAATCACAAACAGTCTGAGGCATTTTTCTCTGATAAAGAAGATACACTGAATGAGGTATCATCAGGCTCCAGCGAGGTATGATTGAAATCCATCTCTTCTAATTCAGGAGGTAAATCTGACAGCAGTGCCTGAGTTGGAAAAATCAATTATTTTGAATTAGTATGTGGACAGATTTCCCCCCAATTTTATGTTAATAGTTGCAGTTCTCTCATGTTGATTTATTCTTATGGATTTAAAGAAAGGAGCATTTCTCTTTCAGGACTTTGTATGATATCTTACCTAAAAGATAAATTCTTAATACACTAGTACTTGATAGTGTGGATTATGTAAAGTAGAACCTTGGACAAAAGGGAAATCAGGAGAGAGATGAACAACTATTCTGTATCAAGTGCTTTGAAGTGTTTCAGATAACGTAATTTTCATACGTTTTGAGTGTTCACTGATCACTGTTAAAGGGCTTTAAAATTACATTCCTTATTAAAATACCTCTGCCTAGTTATGCTGTCTTTTAGAGAAAAACACATTTCACAAAAACGTCTTTTGTACTTCAGTGGGACAAAACTTAACCATTGAGAAAGAAGTTCAGATTTTTTACTTTAGACTAAACTTTAACAACTTTAAAATATTAAGTATTTTTTTCTTTTCTTTTCTTAGGCTATGCCCATCTATCCACAGATGATCAAACAACCAATGCGGCACAGCTGAACCGGTGAATCTAGCTGTGTAATGATGCATCTAGAGGGATGGTCATTTCTTTACTGGGAGTAATTAGGATAAGTCAAGAGCCATGAACTAAGCTTTGCCATGGGGTAATTTTTTCTACTAGGGTTGCAGAACATGCATCCATATATTAGAGGAATAAATGATCAATTAAGATTTATATAGCTGACAGTTCTGATGCCCAATTGACCGTAAGAATTTATGAAGAAAATGACTGATTTGCTGCTCCCAATACTAAAAATAATGTAGCATATCTGAGAAATTTTTAGTCAGCATTAGTTGAAATGTGGGCTTTGAATGTAGTGGTAAAGAAGGCCCAAGGGAACCAAAACAAATGCAAGCTTGCCACGACCTAATTAAGGAACAGAAAGATGGGGCATGTTGGAGAACATACGAAATCCACTGTTGAAATAAGATAGTATTCTCCTACTCTCCTTATTAAAGGAAATGAGATCTAAAAATCCTATGCTTTTTATCTTGTAGCAGAGAGGCAAGATTAGAAACTTTCTCCTTTCTGTCAGGCAGCATAAAGAAAAACTAACTCCTATCTGAAAAACATTATATTTTATATTATTAAATATTTCTTGGCCCTGGCCAGGTAGCTCAGTTGGTTAGAGTATCATCCTGATATGCCATGTTTGTGGATTCTATCCTAGTCAGAGTACATACAAAA